CTACGAGGGCGGAGGTGGTGTAGTGACAAGTGGCGCGCTTACCACTCGCGCGGCGCCGGGTTCGAATCCCGGGTCGACACCCGCCCAGGCCAACCAAGCCTTCTACCCTCCGGGGACGGTAAATTGGTACCAGATTCGTCTGGGAGGATAAAACACTGACTTGTACATCGGCTGGCCACCGCAAGTCATTGTATAGGCCACATCGCATTCAATAAGCCACTACGATTCTGAATGGAAGTAGAATGCGTGCCGCATCCCACAAAGGGATTGATTAACGGCGAAGACTTTATCCTTTATCCTTTATTAGAAGCCCATCCACATGAACTCAAAGGGTAAGAGCAGGAAGTGACGACTCGCGACTTTGCTTGTAAACCTAAACATGTTCAAGAAATTCATAAAATTGTGTCCATAGGGCCCGACGGCATGGTAGGGTCGGGTACCCTTAGATTTCATTTCCTTATTCCATTCTCATCTCCACCGTTCACTCTTAACTGTAGTAACTGCTGGTGTGAAGACACAAGGACTTGGGTAATAATAATAATAATAACATGAAAAAAACTATGACCTACTTGACGATCACCAGTACCAATTTTTGACATCGCCATGCCGAGAAGCAAAGCAATCGACGGGAACTTATCCAGCGATGCCAGTACTTCGTGAACGTGGAACATATTGAAATTTGGCAAATGACCATTCAAACCAAAGGCATACAGTAGTCCAGCAGCAGTCGGAGGTGAAATCTGAATAAATCGTCTCTACAATGGGGCTCGTAACTCACCATGAGACTACACGAGCACCGCTAGCACTTCTGAAATGGTGGGGAAAGGACATCGGAGTGGGTTTTTAAAATCGTGGGGCCCGTTTTCTTAAGTTTGTTGCATGTTGTAGTGATGGTGATGGGAACAGAAATGTTTAGATCGTTTCTGCTAGCGCGCTTCTGGACTTGCCAAGGAGGTGGGGGGGGGGGGGGGGAAGACAGCAGAATGTTCTGCGAAATCATGACGAACGCGACGATTTTTTTTCGTTCCTTTCGTCAGGACAGAAGATTTGGTTGTTTTTAGATACGATTTGGCGCTGTTCGGCTAAGGGGGAGAGGAAAAAGGAGGCAAAGCAGTTTGCACTTCCGCTAGTTTCTTTTGCTGGCTTCTGTTGAACTGCGCGTTTCACCTTGATGAGACCTGAAGGCTCTTGTCAAGTGTAAATGAAGCTCCTACTACTGCACAGCTTTACAGGAACTGACAACTCTTCACAGGAGACATCCGCAGAAATCGAAATTGGGAACGAGAAGAATGCCCCCACCTACACGGAATCCGCCCACGATTCCGTCCAAGCAAAAGGTCCCGACTTATACGAATACAAGTAAACAAAATGCAAGAATGCAAAGTTCTGTCACTGTTGGGTTTCGACCATTAGGGCTATAGGGTCCCCCCAACCCCCCTTTTGACGGCATTCTAGAGGCACGCCCAGGCCTATAGTCCATCCTTTTGCGGTATTTCAGAAGCACGAGGCAAAAATGAACTACACTTTTGTGGTCCCCTCATGTACCTCCACAACATGCAAAAGATCGCTTCAAAAATGGGCTCCACGACCTGAAAGGACTTCCTTTTGTAAGTTAAAACAATCACAACTCTCACATGAAAATCAGAAATGAGCTCACCTTGTCGCTTGTATGGCACAAAGTCAGCCATTCATGGTCAACTCGCACCACATCAGCGCCAACCACAGATAGACCCGTGGCAACACCATTATAGAACTCGCCCCATTCTCGTAGGTGTCTCAGAGGCTGCAAAAAGAACATAAAGTTTTACGTTCTGAATTCTGGGCTTTGCCTTTTAAAGGTTGGCGAGAAAGTTCTGTCATATTTTTTCAAATCAGGCTTTCTTTTTATAGAGAGGTGTACAGGAAGAAAGTAATGTTCTTGCGGGGTTCTTCGCCAGTTTTTGAGCACCTCATGGATGCCATCGCTTCACAATGCAGGCCGGCGCGACGCAAAGTTGGACATCATCTCAACTTTGACTTGGGCTCGAGTCGCTGAGGTTTTCTGATCCATATAACGGTTAAGTACGGGGGGCGGGGGCAACTAGCAGTTAGAAGGAGCAATGTCAGGGCTACATCGATGCAAAGGGAGAGCCATCCAGCTCTATTGCATGAGGTACGGCTCGAACTTTTTTGGACGGAGTGCGCTGCACTATCATGATGAGGATGAGGGGGCTGTGCGGACAAATTTTTCCCTCTGATCGACGGTACGCTTAGATCTCGTAGCTGCTTTGCGTACGCATTGAAGCAGCTTCTTCATCCAGCAGTTTCCCGACCCGCAGCTCCCTCAAGCTGAGTTCACAGGTACACCCAAACCTCACATCGTTATCAAAACTGTAGGTTCCCGCATTAGCGTCGTGAAAGGTTGTCCGATGATTGAGGGCATCGTACTTATGCAGCTCCATTATTTTGGCATCTGCAGCTGTCATGCTGGCGTCAGGGTGGTAGAAGAAAGAGTTTGAGGAAGCGCTTGGAGGGGTCGGTGCCGATGGTAGCGGATAAATCCTTGTCCATATTGCAGAAGAAGAAGAAGCAGGAGTCAAGCGAGTGGTACTAATAGAAAGACCACTCCTTGATGTATAAGTGCTCACATTACCGGTTACCCCTCTTCAGGTAATGGGCAAGTATTTTGAGTTCAAAAAATATGACAGAACTTTCCCGCCAACCCTAATATTTAGCTGTATCAGTGGTCAGTGAGGGCGAAAACGGTGCAACAACTGGGCTCACTTGATGAAACATTCCGCAATCGCCTGAGAGGTGGTATACTCTTGGTGTATGAGGAACGCAGGTCGGCGACCTCATAGATAGTGCCACTTCCGTCATTCGAACCTGCATGGCAGGAGTGCTAGGACCACGCGACTGCCAGGATCTCCGCTATTTATGAGGCTAATAGGTCCGTGGCTGCAGTAGTGCGCCGCTTCCTCCACCCAAAAGTCCTTGGAAACGGAGCTATAGGGTACTGGTACCCAGGGGTCGTCCCCATGCTCCATTTGCGCCACCGCACGGCCAGTCATACGCCTAACAAGGGTCCAACGCGCTCGAGTGTGCTTATGGTGTCTAGTATGGGCAACTTACGGTTAGTCACAACAAGTGAAAAAGATAAATTTTAGCATTCCCATGAAGAGATCAACTTCACGCAAGAATAAAAAAATCACCTCAGTCAAGGTGAGATCATAAGTGAGGTTGGACGGGTAAATACGAGCTGATAGGCATACGTCCGGTACGTACAGTGCTTCTGCAGGATTTGGTAGAACAGTTCTAAAAGGAGGATTGATAAAAAATTATAGTCAAATCTAAAAAACCTGAGAACGTTGACTAAAAACTTTGAGTCGTATAAAAAGATGTAAATAATAATTAATAATTAAATTATAATTATGCTAATGAGATAATTAGATTTAATTATAATGTGTGAAACAAGTGGAACTGACCGAAATGTGAAAAACGCCCGTCCAAAAGCCTGCGCGAGATAACGAGTCCAGGTGGCATTCAGGAATTGCTCCTGAGCTTCACGTATTTCACCGTCTGTACCAGCATCCCTGCAATAAGTCAAAGTTCCTCAACAGGTTCCCTAGCACTATCACTGGAACACCTTGGAGGATCTATAGGCGACTATAATGGAGAAAATCCGAGGCGCCATTATGAACTCTTTGGAGAGGCGGGGGTACATTTATAGACTTCTTGAGTCAAACTGAAGCATCTACCTTCGAAGATGGTCTTTTCTTGTGCGCGGAGTGAGTCGGTGCCACGCTTCAGTGAGCAGCCTCTTTGCGCCGCTGAAAAGTGCGCACAGAACAGGGCCGGACGGTAGAGATAGCCGTGGCTGTCTCCCGACTCCGGCCTGCGCTATCAAAGGCGTTGTGCAGCACTTGTGTCAACTCCGGACCGCGTGACACACATGGTGTGTCACGAATTCGTCTCTGTGCAGCGTTTTATTCTATTAATTTGAGTTGTTTTTCTAATGTTACCAAAACACGTTCTCGGTTACGGAAAGTTCTGGTCTTCACGATTGAAAAGAGGTGGCCGGAATATTGTGTGATGAAGTGATGAAAAATGATGAGATGATAATGTGCGCAGTACGGCGATCCACAAGGAAGTTAATAGACAAACCCGAGCGAACAAGAACAAGCGAACGCCTAGAGAGCCAGAACAGCCGGAGTGAGCGCAAGGCCATAGGTAGCGCGTTGGACTACGATTGGCGTGCGGCCAGCCGGAGGCACCCGGTTGGCGTTTTAATGAGGACGCACACGAGCTGACAGTACTACTATCAGGCCTCTTCCGTTGTTTTTTGACCGTAGAAAGTGGCACGACTACTGCAGCTGCGGACCCTTCTCCTTCAGCCTGTAGTAATTCAAGGAGGCCTGTGTAGCAGCATTTGTTTGAGAGGGTGAACATTAAGCGAAAGTTGCTGTCAAACTTACAAATGCTGAGTGGCAATCAATACTGGTTTGGTACTATCCAACATTGCTTGCACATTGTCGCGCCGAACATCTCTGGGCCAGCGTATCCGAGCGATCTGGGACATTTCTTCAGGTTGCGGGAAACTACTGAAATACCTAGCAATTACTGAACAAGTCGACCAGTCGAAAGAAATGAGCACTAGATACTATAGTTCAGTGGTAATCTAAAGTCAAGTGAAAATCTTGCAAGTCAAGTTCAAGGGAAAGAGCATTTTGAGATCCGCAAGAGGTCGCGAAGGCTCTAATATAGCCGTAATACATTGCGCTTTTTCAATAAAGGTCGATGTATTTTTCCAGCTTCTGGTTTACTCGAACATTCATTGCCAGTAATCAGTAAATCGATCAACTTACGTCACCATCTGAGGGCTTTTGAACTGGAACAGTTCTGTGGAAGTATGTTGGCCCATGATGATTGAACCAAGCAGAAGGCCAATTGACGGTGGCAACTGCTCGATAGTCCATCGTGTGAAGCCGAATTCAGTTATCAAGGCCACACTTCTTGAAGTAAATCAACTCAAAATTAATCAATCCTATACATACAAATATGGAATACACAGCATGTGTTAGCGTGTGTTACTATACGGTATTCTACGACTCGGCTTCCACTGGTCTATGTTCCACAGTCCTGTTGGTTGGGCTTTGATGGGGCGCGTCGTCCCAGCGAGGTTGGTTTTGGCGCGCTGCCAGCCCGTACTGACCAGTTGTTGAAGCGGGTAAGCGAAAACAATTAATGGAAAACGACTGGTACAACAATGTAGTTCAGTCCTGCTTCGCATAGGGGTGTGTCCGTCAGCTTGAGCGAGCCCTACGAGGAGCGCTAAGGCCTGCGTCTTGGACATCTCCGCCGCACAGCACTTTCGCAAATATACAACCACCGCATTTAGCTGTGATCGAGTTTCGGTGAGTGTGTGTGTGCGGTGTGGCGCCTTCGTACGCGGTTTCTAGTGTCTCGCACGCGCATAGAACGTCTCTGCGTCTTCACTAATCTCTTGCTATCCAATGCTGAGTGTCAACTAGGCCCCACATATTCGACGTCTGGTCTGCTCTTTCCATTTTTGGTGAGTCAATTAGTACCCAGAAGTTAATATTCGGACCTCAACACACCCTCCTTACAGTCGCGGAATGTTTTTAGCGCTAACCTCGCTTGGTAGACATTTACCCCACAGATAAAATGACCATTATCAGTGCTGACATTTTCAACGTCTGTTTCAGCCTGGTCTGTTGTAAGATTTGCAGTGTTAGGATAGACTACAGCATAACTCACTTTTGTGCAGGAGTTCTTGTATTGCTGAACATTATTTCAGCCACTTTGTCCACTTGATCAGGACGGAGGCGCAGACGTCGTTCCCAATTTCTACCCAGCAGACGATGAACGTCCGTCATGAGCGCCAATCTACCAGTTCCGAGGCCAACTCCGAGAACTGAAATAATAGTTGAATTCCATATTACTACTGATTTCTATCAAAGAACAATTACGAACGACGTTTGGTTGCTTTTTGTACCCAAGTCCCAAAAAGAAACAACCGGTCTAATTGCGGAATCTCATTGCTAGGAATGTGAAAAGGGCTAAATTTTCATTCCTCTTGAACCGAAATATTTAGGTAATAGTACTTTGGTGGGCTTAACAGCACTGATTCAAATTGATCATTCACAAATATTTGAACACGATGTACTAGTTCAAAAATGCCTAACGCTTTTGAGTGTTGACTGTTACCTGTGAGCAGCCTCGCCACTTTACAGGTGCTGCCTGCTAGCGAGTGTGTCAGATGAGGTTGAAGTATTTCAGCAACCGATTTCCATAGAGAAAATGGATGATCTATCGAGAAATTCCTTGCCGGATGACCGTGAGGCGATGGGAATTCGTCCATTGCTAAATCATTCAAAACAAAATTAATTATTCTGTTCTGGCTATATGGCTCTACTCACTAAATCATAACTATTAGGGTGTTCCATAAAACTCTTAATCAGTCTGGACCTTACAAAACACGTCTTTCGGTCCAACTGAGAAAATGCACCAGGTTCCACTTCGGTCACTATGAATCATTAGTGTCTACATGCTGCTATCACAATCCTTGTTAATGGAAGAAACGAGTAATTATGCGAGCCTGACCTAGTCCTACTAGGTACCGCGTTCCTTCCCGACGCGTACTGTAAACTAGGAGGCTGGAACATCCAGGTGATTTCCACTGGCTGCATAAGAATGATACCCCGATACTCTGCAAGATCTTCGGAGCGAAAATTTTGGGTAACCTCTTATGCTGCTCCGATGAATCCCTCGGATTATGAAGGAGACACTGTGATCTCGACCACCATTATTAGCAAACTGGAGGAGATGGCGTTTATCGATGTACCCTAGGAGCATGAAAAAATCCTTCTTACCTCAACGAGGCAAACCCACCCAAGCATAAAAATACCGCCTTGCAGAGACGAATAGATGCACCACCTCACCGCTCTTAGTCCTCTGAATAAGAAGCTCAAGCGCCTGTCTTTTCACCAGACCCCATCAACATTGCTGTGAGCAGAAACCTACTGCTATCAAGGAACGGGTGAGGAAAACAGTTTGGCAGTGAGCTGTACCACGCTGACGTCAAGGAAGTGGCTGGGGAATATGACGCTAAGAAGATTCTACGCTAGGATTCCGTTCATTAAGGCAAACACCTTTGGATAGTCCCACTGAAGACTGTTCACATTCAAAAATCCGCCTTTTCATCCTTGAGCTTTGAGAAGACATTCTTATACGCAAGTCTGGTATCAAATGGCTCAGGATGGTGGAGGAGAGGCAAGAAAATCTGGACTGAATTCGATGGATTAGCAAAAAGCGATTGATTAAGGGGGATGGGGCTTTTCAGAAAGTCTTGCCGCTGTCCCCTAATTATTGCTTAAAGAGAACTAAAATACGCGCACGAGTGGTCAGATGGGCGAGTGAAATAGAAGTATTAGAAAAAAGAACAGAAATGAAAGTTAATGAAATAAAAGGTGAAGAATAGTGTTACCACACACCTAAGCCATCGTTTCTCTCCACTTCAAAAAGAACAGAAGTGAAACGTGATGGAAATAAAAGGTGAAGAATAGTGTTAGCACACACCTAAGCCATCGTTTCTCTCCACTTCGTAGATGCAATCTGAGCACTCAATGAACTCAGTTTTATACTGGGACGAATACGCCTCCAGGCCGAGGACGCTGGAACAACAAAAATTGGATCAAAATAAGTGAACATTGAATCGTAAAAAAATAGCAGTTAGTAGTCCAGGAACAAAAGTAATTCTGAAATCGGAAATACTGGTAGCATTCTCATGAGTAGATTTATTTGGCTAGGATGTTCCTAGCACTCTGTTCAGATACTGAAAAGCTGATTTCTAAATTTTTTTGCTTGGTATTGTGTCCCTGCGACTCATTATAGGATCTTTTAGACATTGCTTAATCAAACTGTGCGACTCGAGCAGTCTCCAGTGTTGAAAGGAACCCCCCTCCTGCCCTCAATCTTTCCTCCTGCCTCGCCTTTTACAACCACCACAGAGCGACAGATCATCTTAACGAGACTCTCTTCAAGCGAGGAGGGGCGGAAAGTGTCAGACAGCTCAGATCAAAAGTCAGCAAAGGTACTGTTTTGAGCCTCGCCAACATAGTGGGAGAGGGTGCGCCTGTGAGACGAGAAAAATCAAACTAGGAGAAAAAAAGGATCCCTTCCCCCGCCAGCCACCTAATGCGACCCCGCGTTGCAGATACCCACTGTACGCCGTGACAGTTAGCCACATGCAAAAGCGTCGGTTCTGATCGTACGTAGCTTGAGCAAAATGGAAAATTCGATAGCTCGTAGGGTGAATAAATACTTGAGAACAGTGTTAAGCAGAATGATGGTTGCAGTATATTGAGCGCCAGGAAAATGTTGATCTCTTCGTCATTCCGTGCGATTTTTGTTTAGCAACAACATAGGTGCAACGCCTGCATGGCGATTTTTGCTGCCTTACAGAGTTACAATCGGTGCATCCTTTCGACAGACGTATTGGGAGCTGTCTCACCTGCTGATTCATTGCGTGTGGTAACGACATCTGACTAGACGTTCGAAACTAACAGCTAACATTATATTAGATCAAATTACGCGTACCTGGCACCTTCCGGGTAGCGATGCTAAGCAAAGGTTGCCTATGGAAAAACTCGTCCAAAATTGATTTTAGAACACCTTTGAGAACGGAGGCTTTTTCTTCGCAGGATTTTGACCGTTCCACTCCGTTCTTTCGCCATTTCCCCCACTATATAGCGCCCTACTAGCAGTTTAGGCCGAGCACCAAATCATCGTGCCAACATCCTTTAAGGGCTCCTCTACGCGGGAGCCCTTAAAGGATGTTGGCACGATGATTTGGTGTGATGTCTGCTGAATACGCCCCGTGGCTACGAAAGCAGTCTCATTGCGGTTAGAACTATTAACAGCGTACATAATGTTCAGAGCATATGACCTTCTTTCTCAGTTCAGAGGGAGGAATACTCTACCGTGAAGGTTCCGTCTAAGGCACATTGGAAGTGGAAACTGAACTATCTCTTTCACCTCCGTCTTCAAAATCGCGCCGCTGAATACTACTCGCAAAACAATCTTCAAAGAACTTAAACGCCCAATAAATTATGACAGCTTACACTAAACCATCTCTACATCCCTCATCACGAGCCCCTGTTTCGTCAAAAATGTCCAACAGTCTGAATATGTAAACCACTCAAGACTCATGACACGACCAGTCTGGTTCACTCGGATGCCAGGGAGTCTCGGAGGGTAGGGGGAGTGGGTTTGGCGCGTCGCAAAGCGTTCCCCACCAACTGTAGTCGTTTGGCTAGCTTCAACAACTGGTGGGAAGCTGGGTGACGTCACGCCAAACGCAGCCTCCCTAGAACCCATGCCCTTACAAAAGCATAATCAGCAAAGATGCAACATAAAATCACAAGACAAACCTCGTCGCTGCGTGGAGATAGTACACAACTTGCGATTTCAGATGGAAAAGCCCACAATCCAGAGACCACTCTTCGAATGAGGCATGTAAGGCTCCTATCACAGCATACACATGCCCATGTAATGGTGCCGTAGAATCAATCTTGACCACAACATTCACTGATGCCCTCTCTGATTTCTTCCCGACTTTCGGTTGTCTACGGTGTGATTGCATCACGGAAATTCAGTACTCGACTCCAGTTCTGTAAAAAAACAGTAGAAACAATGAAAAGTAAAGGCAATACAAAATATTAGGTTGACCGGAAAGTTTCCCTGTGAGGAATCAACGGCCAAGCTTATTGCGGACTTTACCAATCTCTCGCGCCCAGGATTCAACAGTGATTCGCGCATGGCGACAGCATCGCCCTGCAAGTCCCTGATAGTGCGTACGGATCCTCTTCCACGGTGGATTGCAGCAACTTCAAGTCTAACTCCATCGGCCGGCCGGACCTTGGAGCATCTTGGAGAGAAAAATCTCCTTTCTTGAACTTGGCCATCCAGGTCTTGCACGTGTCGTAAGAGATAGCGTCAGCGCCATATGTATCCACTATCTTGGCTTGGGCTTCCTTTGCGTTTAAGCCAGACTGATGAAGGAAAAGAAGACAGTGCCTCAGGTGCCATTCCGGTCGGGTTAAACTTGATCGCCATTTGAAATCCAAATGGAACTGGGGCTAGTGTGAGGTAGTGATGTGAAAGAGTCTCTTGCGTGCTTCATGCACACCCCACGATAAGTCATAAACATACATGCAAGGCTAATATGGTGCGATCAAACACGGGCGGGAAACTTTCGTCAACCTAATAGTCAAGATTGCATAAAAAAATTAACAGTTTCAATTGACTACTTTTTGACTGTTTTGCTATGATAATCGCTGTTTATCGGCGCAGTTCTGGACTCGCACATTCTTACAACAGTTTCACGCAATCGGCAAAACCCTTCACCCACAATGGACTCGAACCCGCACCTCGGGCTAATCGGGCGCAGTGTTATGGCATACATTGCGGAGGCCTCACCCTACCAGCTAAAGGAGCTTTTCCATAGCCAAATAGCACGATTCCAAAAAATTGCAAAGCCTGATATAGCCTTGGCTACCATTTCAGTCAAGGACCACAGATAATTTCCTTCCGAACGAAAAGCACAGCCTTCAAGGGGACGTCCTGTCGTTGAGGAAAATTTTTGCAAATAACGACCCCTTCCTGAATTTCTTTCTCTGGTACGATGCTAGCTTCCCATTCTACCTATTACTTTCTGCCACTTCTCCGGAGAAATCAAAAATTCTCGAGAACTTCGAGCATCGAGGAGGAGAGGGGTCCTGCCTGCCATATACGGGAAAAATTAGGAAGGTCGTTCAAGAAGAGGAAACATTTTTCTCAAGGTCGGATGCGACCCCTTTCTGTACCAACCGAACACAACCCCATTGCTAGGAATCCCACCCAACGTACGGCATCCCAGTTCAGTCCAGTGGCCAACCAATCAAGGAGAATCTGGATAAGGCGACTGATCAACTGTGAGGGTCCCAGAAAAGATGTAAGACATTTGGTCGGAGAATCCCTGCAAAATTACTCCCATATCATTTTAGAAAAGAATAACTCATGGAGCAACACCTATCCAAGTCCACTGGCTCTTACCAAACCTAGGAATTTCCTGTGGAATTGTGAACGAAACCTGGTCTTCATAGAGAAAAAGGCTAGATGTCATAGTGAAGTTACAGCCAACTGCCAATAAGGTTTTCTTCAGCAAGGAAATGAATACAGACAAAACGCCACTTCGGAACTCAAAGGGCGCTCGGTCTTACAACACTTCACGAAGGCAAGCCTGTGCCTCATTCATCCCCGTTGGCGAGATGCCGAGCCGTCCAAGGCGCTGGTTAAGGCACAGTCCCTTCGGGGGGTGCGTTCGAAATCCCACTCTGTCATCGTTTGCCATGGCATGATTATATCACAGACGAATACACAGCGAGCTGGGCTCAGTGTCAAATAAGAGTTCCCAAACCACACAACAAGAGCGAAACATAGGATGGGAAACGAGGAGAACAGGTCTGGACCGCACGAAAAATCGAAAAAGAAATTGAATAAAAAAGAAAATGGAAATTCCTCAAGTTGTAGCGTAAGTTGTACAAAACAGCGATAGGAGTGCGAAGAAGTGTGAAGACGAGATGACAGAGATAGAAAAAAAAGAGAGAACCGCAAGGTAAGGCAAATTTGATTACGACTTGGAAAAAATTATCACCGACGAATGCGCGGTTTCTATGCCTCACAAGATTGTTACAATAAATCCATCATATGCCCGCCACTGCGCCCAATCTTCGTTATCACCGAAACTGGAAATGCTTCGAAGGGCACTATAAGGCGACCTATGCGCGCAGCAGATGCCAACGTTCAAGAAGAACGGACTACAAGACACTCGTAGAATAACGAGTCGTAGCAATCTGTGGCTCCCTTCGTCCTGCCGAAAGTATCTTCGAAAAGAGATGAAAGCGACATATCATCGCAAAAGACAAGGCGCCACTGCGCCTACTGCGCAATACGGAGGGTGCAGGCAGAAAAACATAAAAAACCAAGAATTCTCAACTGACTTCTTGAAACTCTTCAACAAAAACTGCTAGTACATGAAAAAGAACTAAAAAGAAAAACAGTGATAAGTAAGGATGGAATGACTGCTACACAGGACGGAAAAACAAGAAGCCAAGCCGAATATCCGAGAAAATGAAAGCGAGAGTAGGTGGGATCTTCGCGCAAGCAAAATCTGTTTACACAGGCGATCGTGAAAGATATCAAGTAATCTCTCTCTACACCTTTTCCATTCCACTGACACAACAACAATTTTGCCATGCACTTAGCTCGATGAATCGCGTCTCCGCCGTCGACACCCATGTGGCGAGATGGCCGAGCGGTCCAAGGCGCTGGTTTAAGGCACCAGTCCCTTCGGGGGCGTGGGTTCGAATCCCACTCTCGTCAGCTCTTTTGCACTTACTCTCAAGTATTGGAAAACGATGAGCTCCTTCTTTACCACTCAAAGCACATATTTTACCAAACTCTTGTTGTCCTTCAATGGTGTACCGCTCACCTCTTCCAGCTGCTGAAGCTTTTGGCGGCGCCTTTGTTTTGCATCGGTTTCACAATCTTCGTTGTACGGTGCTGGTTCTCGGTAATAAGTTATTTTTTAACAGTACGTTTTCACAAAATCATCAGTCGTCTAAAGAATCTTCAATTACAGTTGCTGTCCGGCATTTGAAAGAATGGAGCGCAACCACTTCTCGATAAAGAAAAATCATTGAAAATGAAAAATAATGGCTAAATAAACTTGGCTTTAGTGTGATTGTTTGGCATATTACCGTTACACTGTATGAATGGTTCTGACTCGAACTGTCGGCATATTAGTTGCAATTCGCCTCGGTGGAGCAGGGGGGGGGAGGGTGGGGCATTTTTGAACATTTGCTAGCTTCCAAATCGTCGGACTTTTCGCATAATCTGTTCATGAAGTGATGACAGTCAAAATTTGTAGAAACTGCTTGTCAACTCTTGCAAGCGACCAGCTCTTGTGAAGTAATCAATACGACAATGGGAAATAGCAAAACTGCAAAGTGCCCCCTCCTAGCCAAACCACGCCCAAATAAAGCCTTACTGAATTGCTGATATCGAATGTATTTGGAAAAATAATTACATTAGCGGCTGGCAGGCAGTTATCAGCTGGCAGCTCAGCTGTCATGATTTTGGTGGCCAAAATGCCACCGGAATGAGTGTCTTGAAGATAGAGGTGAAATGAGAGATGGAGAGATGTTGCAAAAAATCAAAATAGATGGCCATCAAAAATGGGGAAGAGAGGCTCACATTCTAGCTGAGACGGCACTCAGGGTATGTGAGAGACAACACGGAACCTTTTCCAATACAAAAGAGGGCCTGTCGCAGTACGACTTGACGGGGGGGCATTCTGCATTTTCGTTACATCCCATCGTCCTGTTCATTCTTCACAAGATTTGATAAGCAGTTTACAAACTTTAACTGGCATCACTTCACGGCTTCACAAGACTACACAGTTTTCTACTTGACGGCTCGATACGACGATGGGAAGCAGTGAACGTGAAAAATTCTTCTCCCCCCCTCTCCGCCGAATCGCTCAGAGGATTTTTAAAGTCTTGGAAATAGTTCGCCTTATAAAGGCGGAACGGGCCATACCCTCACCTCTTTTTTGATACTCTACTCTGCTGGTTTTTCCTTTAACAGTGTTCGAAGAACAACTACCTGAAAACCAGTCTGGAAAGTGATTGAAACAAAGATTACCTTTCGCCATGGTAGCCTTTCATGTTCTTCTATTATGATGCCAGCCTGCTCCAGCAAGAATCGCATGGCCGTGTGCAGCTGAGGTTCCGCTACCGCCATTTCCAGTTCACTGTCGTAGTTACGACTGTTCGTCTTCCAGTCCAGCATTAGACGTAAAGCTTTCTCACGAGGTAACACATCAACCACAGCAGCAAACACGTCCCGAGCTGCAAGTTTACGAAAGTTAGTAGTTTCAGAGCTAGTGATATCAGAGGGTAAGAGCGAATGCCGTAACGGTTGGTGGGAGATGCGGTCTTAGGCTCCTCCTGGGATCTAACTTTTGCCCTATAACTCAGCATCCTTCTGAAAGTTGGTGAGCTTATTCATGGAAGACGTTGCAGCAGGGCAGATCATCCCAATGGGTAGATTTTGGGCAAACTGTGATGAGTTGTTAACGTTCCACCAAAATGGAGGAAAACCTTTGTTTACGAGCATGAATAGCAGAAGCGAAATTGTGACCAAAACGTTTTTCTCTCCTTTCTGTTCTCTCTTTATCTTTTCTCTCTCTTAGTCCCTTCTTCCCTCTCCCTCAACGGATAACAACGATGAATTTTCAAACTTCTCTGCATCGTTTATAGAGGAGAAGTTGAGACATATTGGCTCCACATGCTCTCACAAGGCAAAAAAAAAAAATGTAGAAGATTGATAGTTTCTCCCTGACAACTAGTTTTGGATATTGCGCCACGTTACACACTCAAACTCGAGGTGGGCTTTGAATGTGATCCTCGACTATCGAAGGTCTACAAGTGCGGGTGGGGGGGGGATTAAGGGTGTGTGGGGGTGTGGGGGCGGGTGGGGAGGAGAGCAGACGTGAGAACATAGAAGTTCAATGCTGGTATATTAACCGAGAACTGCAGACGGAACAGAAGTCTTATCTTACCCGAGGAACTGCCCCACCAAGGCCAACTGCGTCGTTGCCAGGAAAGTCCTTCTCTCCAGTACGACTACCCTCATTATTGAACCCCTGTATTGATGTGTTAGCTCAGCTCATCGGCCAATCAGTCCTCTGACGGTTCCCAAAATGTCCCTTTATATCGAGTGTAGGGACGAGCAGGATAAGGATCGACAGACCGCTAATGAGAGCGAAAAAACCAATCCCACTTTTGGTGGCACTTTATCGTAATGGTACGGCCATGAAGCCACTCTATGTTACTCCATAAGAAACTTATGGCGCTGTTCGGCTTGGAAGGGGCATCTTGCCTTTTGCTCGTCTTTTTTGTTAGTTCGAACTAACTTGCCGTTGTGACCCTGGTCGGACCTATAAGCTCCTGTGAAGCTGCGAAATCGTCCAAGTGAACCACTCAGGGCAGAGGATTCAACAGGCCTTCAGAAAGTGGCCTGTACAAGCTTAGCTGAATACCATTCGATGCCCCCACCAAGCCGAACTGCGCGGAAACATATTTAAACCTATTTACTACACTTGCAGCCATTCCCCAGGGTCTTGGCGTCGCATCGAAGGCGGGAACATGCAGTCGCGACGTACGCTGAGACAGGGGAGAACCGCGGCTAGCCAAACGGAAGTACTGATTGATAAACACCCAAGCGAGGGAAACTACAAAAAATTGCCGCAAAGGCGAACTATTTTCTCGAGAGTGCGGTAGAGATTCCACGAAATCTTGGGGTCAAAAATACATACCTAAGGAATTTACAAATACCGGCGGTAATATGACTCTTGTCAACTCTGTCGCTTTTGAAAGTTTGTTTTCATGCTGTATTACAAACGACGAGTTGTCGGCTGAGTGAAGTATCATAGTTGGCGTGATAGTGAACTAAAAAAAAGTTGAATTGATTTCACAAGGCCTGAATGCTCCTCGTAAATGGAACAGTATGTTACCCTGGAAATAACTGCGACAGCGCATCGTGTATGTCCAGAATAAAGCCCTACAGAGTTGTCCATCTCCAGCAAAACGGTCAGGTCGCCGTCCTGAAAATGAGAGAACAACATTGTTGACAATTGTAAATGACAAATCCGT